TATAATGAGCTAAAGATAAGAATTCGGTTTGAGTTGGTTTGTTATGTCCGGCTGACGCATGGTGAATGACATTGAAACGTAGATAAGTACAATTAAAGGCTTATTTATTGTAGCTTTTTGCGAATATCTTGGAAATTGAGGCCGACCGTGGATTTTAGGCAAAGGAGGAAGTTGTTTAAAATGTCGGTATTTACATATCGAAACATTCTCGGAGAGGAAACAACTTTTTGACAGTTTTATCATGAAAGGTTATTGACGTTAAAAAAATTCCTTATATATTTCAATTTCTTAACGATTGTAATTCGATAGTAATTCAGTGATGTTATTGTTGAACAGTGAATATTGGTGCAGTCCTCGGAAATTTGGGTACAATTTAAAAATCCACAAAATTTTTGTGATGATCAAAAATATACATACACAGATATTAAAACATATACAGAATATTAAAAGTACAGTTTTGCAGTTTCTATTTGATATAATGAATTTTTATTTCAATTTTTAGTTGCTCTTACAGAAACAAGTTATTCTTATAAAGAAAATTTTGTTCATTTTATAAAAAGACAGAAATATATATATTATACATATTATTGTACTTTTTAGATAGACTTAGAAAAATAACGGAGAAATTAATTTCAATGAGTATGCATTTATATATGTACATACTATATGACATGACATTTATCATACCATATGCATTTTCAGATAGTTCTTTTATAATATTCATCTATATTATTCTTTGATAATATTCATTTATATTATTAGAATACAACAGGTACTATTACATTCTCGCATATTGCGCATTAAATATTTAAACTATTGTAATTTTGTAAAGGAAATCGTACAGCATTGTACTTGGGCTTATCTCGAAGTTTAAGGCCTCTATTTTAAGAATATATCGTTCATTTTATTCTAAATTATTTTTATTTAATATGTTTTTGCATTAAATGGCCGATAAAAAATTTATTTTCTCTTAATAGCACTACAAATTGTCGTAGTATGTAGAAATAAAAATTGGAAATGTTTAAATTATGTGCCTCAATAGCAATTTCCAAAAATTTACATTAATAAATGAATTGAATTATAGAACATAGAATTAATGAATTCATTATGAAATCATTCGTGGAAACAGATTTGGGTTTTACTATTTAATACTGTGCAACAAGATTTAGGTTGTGCTATGCAGAGACCGAATCAGTATTACGGATACCGGAAAAATACCGGTATTTTTAGGTATTCGATTTCGGTTTGATGAAACCGAAATAGTGCGAATACCGGTATAACGATGTTAAGTCGGTAGATGTGTTTCGGTATAATACGGGTAAATAAAATAGTAATATATTAGAAAAGGAAAAGGAGACAATGATTAAATGTTTTCATAAAGCTGTATAGTAAATTTGACGATGCTTATACACGTACACTTTATTTATTTTTATTAGCTTTTTTATTAGTTTTTTATTTTATTTTATTTATATTAGCGGCTAGC